GCAGAGAGCGGGAGCTAATCTCGTTGTGCTTCGGCTTCTCATTGCAGTACCATCTCTTGTTGTACCATCTCTCTAGCGCTCCCCAGCTCTAAAGCAGAGGCTCAGTAGTTGTGGCACATGGGCACATGTGGGGATCTTTCTGGATCAGGGATCAAACCTGTGCTTCTGCATTGGCAGGCAGGTTCTTCCACTGAGCCACCAGGGAAGCCCTGGTGCATTCTCTTGAAATGCGTTATTTCCCGGAAGGATTCACTCCATGCCCCCCCCCCACCTACAATCCACATGTGTTTACTTGCCAACCACACCCCACATGTCTGAGCCCCAGCAGTGAAAAATGAGATTTTCCATTAGCCTACTTTTGCACATCTCCTTGTTTCCACTTGAAATATTTTCTTATCCTATAGTGATCCTCTTTTAAGAAGTCTTTCCTTAAGAACCCATAAGTCTAGCTATTCCTTGTGCCCTGTTCTTTTTAAAAATATTTATTTTATCTATTTGGTGGCATTGGGTCTTAGTTGCTGCACGTGCGATCTTCTGTTGCAGCGCTTGGACTTAGCTGCCCTGTGGCACACGGGATCTTCGTTCTCTGAACAGGAATCGAGTCTGTGTCTCCTACATTGCAAGGATGAAAATGAGATGGTTGGATAGCATCAGTGATTCCATGGACATGAACTTGGGCAGACTCTGGGAGACCGTGAGGGACAGGAAGGCCTGGCATGCTGCAGTCCATGGGGTCACAAAGAGTTGGACATGACTTAACAATGTTGCAAGGGGGATTCTCAACCACTGAACCACCAGGGAAGTCCCCCTTGCGCCCTGTTCCTGTGCTGTGTCAAAGTGGTTTATAAGGATTTTCTGCATCTTCATGTTGTATGTGACCTCCTACCTTTAGACACTTCTTTCTTCAGTCATGCTCACGGTTACTACATCAGGCTTCCTTAGTGCTTTGATAATGCTGCCAATCTTCAATAGCTCCCATTTTTTTATAGGAAGAAAATTTAAACTGCTTAGCCTGGCATTCAAGAACGTGCACAGTCTGCGCCACCTACATTTCCATTCTGGTTTCCCCTTCATCCCCTAATGAAACCCGCTCCAGCACGGGAGTCATGCAACCACCCCTCTCCTGGCTTTTATTTACATTCTCTTTTCTCCTTCACTATTTAAAATTGTTACCATCTATGACATGCACACATTTAAACATTATTTTCTGTGTCAGTAATGAATTAATAAATAAAAAATAATGAAGGTAAAGCCCCAGGCACTCAATAGATAGTAGTTGATGTTATTTGTTCTCATCTTATTCTCACTGTTACTATTTCAAGAAGTCCATAGTTACCTGGACTACAAGGACTAATGACTGTGCTTGCCCCTGCCAATCTCGGCTAAAAACAGAAGAGTCTGACGTAGTAATAACTGATGACAGTGATGCATAATGACTAGCTAGGAGGTCAGAGCTGAGTGCCTCAGGGTATAGTGCAGGAAGGGTTAAGGGTAAACTTCACTGAACAGTGAATTGGCCTTGAAGAGTAAATAGAAACTTTTTTTTCTTTGTAAAAGTTTTACACATTTCATTTTAGATTGTTCTAGGAAGTATTTGTAAAAGACCTTTTTAAAAAACTTTGTTGCTGTTTAGTTGCTAAGCTGGGACCCTTTGTGACCCCCATGGACGGTAGCCCACCAGCATCCCCTGTCTATGTGATTTCCCAGGGAAGAGTGCTGGAGTGTGTTGCTATTTCCTTCTCCAAGGGGTCTTCTTGACCCAAGACTGAATTCACATCTCCTGCATTGGCAGGTGGATCCTTACCACTGAGCCACCAGGGAAGACTTGCAGTCCAAGAGACTCTCAAGAATCTTCTCCAACACTACAGTTCAAAAGCTTCAATTCTTCAGCACTCAGCCTTCTTTATGGTCCAACTCTCACATCCGTACATGACTACTGGGAAAACCATAGTTTGGACTATATGGACCTTTTTAGGCAAAGTGATGTCTCTGCTCTTTAATACGTTGTCTAGGTTTTTCATAGCTTTCTTTCCAAGCAGCAGGAGTCTTTTAATTTCATGACTGCAGTCACCATCCATGGTGATTTTGGAGCCCAAGAAAAGGAAATCATTGTTTCCGCTTTTCCCCATTTATTTGCCATGAAGTGATGGGACCAGATGCCATGATGTTAGTTCTTTGAATGTTGAGTTTTAAGCCCACTTTTTCACTCTCACCCTTATGAAGAGGTTCTTTAGGTTCCTCTTTGCTTTCTGCCATTAAAGTGGTATAATTTGCATATCTGAGATTGTTGATTGGCAATCTTGATTCCAGCCTGTGAGTCATCCAGCCCAGCATTTTGCATGATGCACTCTGCATAGAAGTCAAATAAGCAGGGTGACAATATATAGCCTTGAAATACTCCTTTCCCGATTTTGAATCAGTCCATTGTTCCATGTCTGGTTCTAACTGTTGCTTCCTTTCATGCATACTGGCTTCTCAGGAGACATGTAAGATGGTCTGGTATTCCCATCTCTTTAAGAATTTTCCGTAGTCTATTGTGATCCACACAGTCAAAGACTTTAGCATAGTTAATGAAGCAGAAGTAGATTTTTTTTTTTTAATTCCCTTGCTTTTTCTACAATCCAACAGATGTTGGCAATTTGATCTCTGGTTCCTCTGCCTTTTTTAAATCCAGCTTGGACATCTGACTCATGGGCATGCACATTTATTGAGAACTAGAACTCATACCTGATGCATTTCATTAATTATGATATCTGGGCTAAATGATCCAAAATGACTAAAATGTATTAATTCTGAGGCTTTATTTTTCAAAAATATGGCCAAATTTTCCATTGGCATTCCCAATACTCTTCCCCAAATCCTCTGAAGCCCAGATACTATAACAATTTTCCTAAAACCCTCTTACTGAGACCCTCTTTGATTTCCTGTGGTGTGTGCTGCACTGAACAACAAACGGAACTTTAAAAGTTCCTGGTGTAATCTTAACCTTAAGGTTTTCTCTGACGGGACCTAAAACAAATATCAACCAATGGCAATGGATTCCTTTTTACTTTGGTTCTGATTTTAGTCCTTTTTGTGTCCCCAATTTCTTGGTTGCAAAAACTTGGCTTCATTTAGCCTCTTTGACATTCCCTAAGCTCCAAAGGGCAGATTCAAAAGGTTGCTATCAGGGAAGTTAGAGATGCAGAAACCAGAAAAGTGCAGTCCAGAAACGGGCGCAGGGTGGTGGTCCAGTGGTTAAGACTCCACCCTGCAACGCGGAGAACTACGATCCCACATGCCTTAGGGCAACTATACTGGAACGCCACAACTGCTGAGCCGTCCTGTGACAACCAGAGAGTCCTTGAGCTGCACTGAAAGGTCCTACACGACGCAGCGAAGATCCCAAGTGCCAACACTAAGACCTGATGCAGCCAAGGGAAAAAAAGAAAAGAATTGTGCAGCCACAACAGTGTGGTCTTGGGAAACAGGCAGAGACTACAAGGCTCCTACTCAGGTGGAGGATGGTAACTTAAGGCTGAGCTCAAGATTCCTGGTACAGCACCCTGTTACCTCACCACCAACCAATCAAAAGAAAGCCACCCACCCTGAGGCCTCACCCCAAATTTTACCTGTAAAACTATCCCCCCAACTATCAAAGGTTTCAGGATTTTAGGCACACAGCACTCATCCCCCATGTATTGGCGCATTTATAGTAAATGCCGCGTTTTCCTTCCCTACTGCCCAATGTCAGTAGCTTGGAGTGAGCAGACCCATTTGGTTCAGCAACAATCTGAAAACTTAACAGTAAAAATAAGTACTAAGACAGGATAAATTTGAACACTGGATATTTTGGTATTAAGCAATAATTCATTTTTTATGTTGGGATGATGCTATTGTGATCAGTTCTCGCTCCTCTCCCCCCAACTGGTTATTTTTTTAGATATACACCCTTAAAAATCTATAGATGAAGTTATTTGTCTCCTCCTCCCTTCCCTTTGGGAAAAGCAGTTAGAGCTGTACTGCAGACAATTAAGATTTTGTCAAAATGCCGATAATTGTCAGCGGCTGCCGAGTAAGGTGATTATTCTGTTCTTCTATATGATTTTGGGAATTCCCTGGTAGCTCACTTGCTAAAGAATCTGCCTGTACTTCAGGAGACCAGGGTTCAATCCCTGGGTTGGGAAGACCCCCTGAAGTAAATGGCAACCCACTCCAGTGTTCTTGCCTGGGAAATCCCACGGACAGAGGAGCCTGGCGGGCTACAGTCCGTGGGATCACAAGAGTGGGACACGACTTAGCGATTAAAACCGCCACATGATTTAAGTTTTCCAAAGGTGTGTTGTTTTTTTTTTAAGATTCCTTTAGGAGAGAGCAGTATTGCAAGGAAATTCAAACAAAAGGCCATAGCACGCGGCCAGAAAGAGTGAAGCATTCCTGTTCGGAAGGCAGCGGCTGCTTCTGCTAAGTCGCTTCAGTCGTGTCCGACTCTGTGCGACCCCATAGACGGCAGCCCACCAGGCTCCCCCGTCCCTGGGATTCTCCAGGCAAGAACACTGGCGTGGGCTGCCCTTTCTCCAATGCATGCATGCATGCTAAGTCGCTTCAGTCGAGTCCGACTCTGTGCGACGCCATGGACAGCAGCCCGCCAGGCTCCTACGTGCACAGGATTCTAGGCAAGAGTACTGGAGTGGGCTGCCTTTTCCTTCTCCGCTCGGAAGGCAGGGGCTTTCTCTTTTAGCTCCCACACCTTAAACACGTGTTCTTACACGTCTCGGGGAGGTAAATGTCCGCATTAAACTGTACGCAGACTCCGGCTGTGTCGCGAGCTTTCGTTAGCAGCTCCTCTGACGTCGCCCCGGCAGCAGGTCCCTCCCCGCCCCTCTCACCGGCCCGGAGCCGCCCGCGTCCGCCAGCACGGAGGGTCCGGACAGAGAGACGGGTCAGCGCTCGCTCCCTCGCCAGGCCTGCGCCGCGCCGGGGTGCGCATGCGCACTGCGGCTCCCCCGGTCGACCTTGGCGGATCGCGTTTGCGCAGTGGCGATCAGTTCCCAGCACCCGCTCGGCTCTGGGCTGGCCGAGGTCTCAGCGTGAGGGCGGCCGAGCTGGCTGGCTGCTTTAAGATGAGGCTTCTGCTGCTTCTGCTGGTGGCGGCGTCGGCGGTGGTCCGCAGCGATGCCTCGGCCAACTTGGGCGGCGTGCCTGGCAAGAGGCTGAAGATGCAGTACGCCACGGGGCCGCTGCTCAAGTTCCAGATTTGGTGAGTGGGTGCGCCGGCTCCCGGCCGCGCCTCTGCTCCGCTCCTCCGACTACGCGAGGCCCCGGATCCGCGGCCTAGAGGGCTGACCCTTCCCCGGCCCGGAAGAACGGCGCCAGCAGCCTTCCGCCGCCTGCCTCCTCCGGGTCTCTTCCCGGGGAAGGCCTGGCCGCCCTCCTTGCCTCCAAGCGCAGCCGCTCACTTTGGTTTTTTTTTTTTCTTTTTTTGGTTCCTCGAATGAATGGAATGGGGGGTGGGGGCAGGGGAATGGTAAATACTGAGAGGCGAAGGCGTGGGGACACTTGTCCGTACGGAGAACCGGTCGGCGGCGTCACGCCACGGCCATCCGGCTGCCTTGCGGAGGTGGGTTTTGTGTGAGTCGGCGCAGTGTCAGCGCAGGAGCTCCAGCGTTTACCACTAGGTTCACTTCGCCTCTCGCCTTTCGCGGGTTGCGCCTGGCGGCCTCCCTGCGCGGCTAGACGAAGGTTAACTTGGGTCATTGGAGCGATCCCGCGAGGGACGGACGTCTTTTTCTCCAGGGTCCGCCGAAGTGACTGTTGGATGAGGGAGTAGGGATTCTGATAGCTGGTGGGCTTGGATGGGGAAGCTGATTCTCCGTTTGCAATTTCCAAACTGTTTTTGAAAAGGAGCACGTTGCTCTTCTGACAAACGTTCACTCCCAGACAACTGCATCTTCTTCTCCAATCCCCTTCCTCCCGGGAGTTCCTTGCCCTGGCATTTCGCTCCACCTTTCAGATCTCTTGGGCCTTAAGAGAAATAGCAAAAGCAATCCCTCATCCCCCCAAACCCGGCAGTTTTTGACAGTTTTCTGTAAGTTTGTTGTTACCTAGTTAAGTATTAGAAGCAGAATAGCAATGCATGCGATAAGGTAAGTGGTGTTGGGGAACGTTTGAAAGGCTCCGATGAAAAACAAAAACCAAAATTGTAACATTGTAGAAATTAGAATCCTGTATCTCAAAAGATCCTCTCCCCCCCCCCCCAGAAGAGGGTAGTCAGATTAGTAAATCTGAAGAATCCTGTTATTTTTGAATATTGGTGTTGGCCTTAATGCATTTAAGATCAGTTTTTTCAAGCTTCATGTATTAATATAACTGTACTAAAATTTAGATTTTCTGCTTATCCAATTAGGTTTTTGCTCAATCTTAAAGACTAAGCAAATCTTCAAAATTAAATCCGTTTAAGTGACATTTAAAGAAAGTCAGAAAATAAGATTTTTGAAGTGAAAACTAAAACCTTGCTGCTGCTTTCTGATTGAAAAAAGCTTCCTGTAGTGTTTACTGTGTGCCTGGCATATATCGTTGTATATCATCTTTCATATGTGATACTGTAAATGGGAATTTTGGCTTGACCGTTCTGACTCCCCCCACCCCGTCCTTTTTTTTTTTAATTTGAAAGTGGCAGTCTTCTTACTAACTTATAAATGTTATTAAGGATTAAGTGTGATACTTTTGGATTTAAGTAGTTAAAAAAGACTGCATTTTCCAAGTTATGTAATTTTTCTATTTCTTATCTCTGGGTTTCATTTGTGCTTTTCAAAAAGACTCTTTTACAGTTGCTTATATTGGTTTACTTGTCACAATAATTTAACAAATGTACCTTCCTCTTAGGTACACAGCAAAGTTTTGAAAATGTCTAAATAAATGTAGGGAAAGGCATTCGGTTCTTAAAATTAAACTTCAAAAAAGTCGTAAGTACTTCAGTTGAACTTATTTTTTAAAAATTGTTTAGTTTTGTTTGGCTGTGCTGGGTCTCAGTGGCCGCACGGGCTTTTCCTTCGTTGTGATGAGCAGCGGCCGCCGTCTGGTTGCGGGTACTGGTGTCTCCTGCGGCGGCTTTCCTTGGGGCAGAGCACGGAAGAGGAGGGTCCGGCGCTTCAGTCGTTGCAGCCTCGGGCTCTGGGGCACAGGCTCGGCGGTTGTGGAGGGCTTAGTTTTCTCTGGCCTGTGGGATCTTCCTGGGTCGGGGATGGAACCGGTGTCTCCTCATGGGGGAAGCGGATTCTTTCCCACTAGGCCTCCAGGAACGCCCTCAGTTAAACTTCTGTTACCTAGTCTTTGTTGCCTTTTATTCTTTAAGTAGAGAAGTACAGACTTGACCTAATAACTTCTTTTGCAGTCCTCCTAAGCATGTTACATACAAAAATGCTTTCTTTGCTCTAAAAAAAAAAAAAAAGATTTTTATAGGGCAAAAAAACCACCAAACCTGTTAATATGCCCTGTGCCCTTTTGTGACCCAGCAATCCCACTGCTGGGCATACACACCGAGGAAACCAGAACTGAAAGAGACACGTGCACCCTAATGTTCATATAAACAGTGCAGCCCTGTTTATAATAGCCAGGACGTGGAAGCCATCTAGATGTCCATCGGCAGACGAATGGATAAGGAAGTTGTGGTACATAGACACAATGGAATTACTCAGCTATAAAAGAAAAGAACGCGTTTGAGTCAGTTCTAATGAGGTGGATGAAACTGGAGCCTGTTATACAGAGTGAAGTAAGCCAGAAAGAGAAGCACCAATAGTATATTAATGCATATATGTGGAATCTAGAAAGACGGTAATGACGACCTTGTATGCAGGACAGCAGAAGACACAGATGTAAAGAGCAGAGTTTTGGACTCTGGGAGAAGGGGAGGGTGGGATGATTTGAGAGAATAGCACTGAAATGTGTATATTACCATATGTAAATTAGAGGACCAGAGGGGGGAGGAGGGGAGGGGGAGGGGCTGTTCAGGATGGGGGCACGATCACTCCTGGCTGATTCGTGTCGGTGTATGGCAAAAACCACCACGATATTGTAAAGTGATTATCTGCCAATTAAATAAATAAATTAAAAAAAATATGCCCTATGCCCTACCAAATACAGGTAAATTTAGCCTGTTTGTTACTTTTTCCCCCTGACACTCATCTGTATAAAGTTAATATTTGGTTTCTGATTTTGGTAGAATCTCTTGGGCATTTATTTGCAGGTTTGTTTGGGAAAAGAAGGAAGCTAAGATGAGGATAAATCTTTGAAAATTCTTTTAATTCCATTTAAAATCGAAGTGCTATAAAGTGCAACTTTTCATTAATTACCAGTGTTAACAGAGAACTCTTTTTTCCCAGACTTTAAACTTTTGTTTTTCCAAACTTTAACCCTTTTGTGTTGTATTGGTGTGTAGCCGATTAACAATGTCGTGGTAGTTTCAGGTGAACGGCAAAGGGACTCAGCCGTACACATACATGTATCCACTCTCCCCCAAGCCCCCCAGGCTGGCACAGAACATTGAGCAGAGTTCCATGGCTATACAGTAGGTCCTTGTTGGTTATCCATTTTAAACACAGCAGTGTGTACATGAGCTATTTTTCCCTTCCTTTCCATTTCTTTTGCCTTTTATTATTTTATATTTCTTATGAGTACTCTTTCGTTAACTCAGTATATCATCTGTTAATTGTGGCACTTTTGTAATTGCTAACAGAACAAAATAATGCATAATGGAATTGAAAAGAGAGACCAAGCACGCAGAGTAGCTTCAACAAACTTCCTGTTTTGTTTTCATGTACTTCTTCAGTAAATCCTCATTCAAGACCCGCTTGTGCCAAAGGCTAAACACAACTTGGTGAACAGGGCAGAGGTGGCTCCTCTCAAAGCCTCCTGAGAAGCACAATATAACTGAATGTTTGGTTTATTATATCAGTCGATCAAGCCGTTGAATTAGATGCCTTTAAGGATGTTGCATGTTTGGAGGAAAATGTATACTGTTTACTTGGACGTTTAGCCATTAAGCATAAAAAAGGAAGTTTTCTGATCAGAACTTAAAATTCCTTTATCACATTTTTTTTCCTGTGATTTTTGTGTAAATGTATTCTGACAGATACTGTTTGGAGTGTTTGTATGCATGCTTTTTTCCTCCCATATATGTGAATTAACATGTAATCATACAACATAGTATCAGTTGTTTCAGTTTAAAGAGATTACTATCTGCAGCTCTTCATAGTTAATACTTAGTCAACATTTGATAATTGATTTACTCAGAATAGTAGATTAAAGTTAAGATTTCAAAACATAAGCAGAATGCATCAGAATTTGCCAATTTTTGTTAACGAACCCACTGCTATAATTTTAGGACAACCAATTTATAAATGGAGTTTTAAAAGGTAAATGAAACAATTACGAGAAGACATTTTAATTTAAAGTTATGCCAATTTAGCCTTTACTTTCATGGTATGGAGGTAAGAAAATAAAGACCAAAGACTGATTTGGATGTTAATATTGATCAAGATTAGTAAAATGCTGAATGGAAGAAATCTGAGAAATTGTGAGTTTTAGTTTTTTAGACAAATATTTGTGTGTTTAACAAATAGTTGAGCCCCAAGTCTATGCTTTTTTGGTGCTGGGAGTTCAGTTCAGTGCTCTCATAGATGTTAAAGGCAAGACTAGAAGGCAGTCATTAATCCATGACAACACATAAAATTACCGTTGTGTTAATTGCAATAGGAAAGTAATATAGTATGAGAGATACCTAGTCACAGGATCAGGGAAGGTTTCCGTGAGAAAATGAACTTTGAACAGAGATTTGAAGGTTACAGTATATTTAGAGAGCACTTTTGAGCAATGGAAATAACACGTTCGGTGGCCTTATAGTAGGAGAGAACATAATTTCTTGAGGCCAAGGCTCCTGACCTCAAGGACCAGACAGAAGGTGGCACAGACCCTGGAAGGTCTAGAGGGCCACGTTAAGGCGAAATCAGTAGGTATCAGCGTGGGAAAGACACTGTGTATGTGTTAGTCGCTCGGTCGTGTCCGACTCTGCGACCCCGCCAGGCTGCTCTGTCCAGGGGTTCTCCAGGCGAGAGCACTGGAGTGGGTTGCCATTCCCCTCCTTCAGGGGATCTTCCCGACCCGGGGATCGAACCTGGGTCTCCTGCACTGCAGGCGGACGCTTCACCGTCTGAGCTAGGGAAGCCCCTTGCAGGGGACAAAAGATAGCTACGGGGAGACCAT